AACCTGGTAATGTCCAAATGATTCTGAGTCCATACTCACTGGTGCTCGATTTGAAAATTCAGGTGCCCGGTGAACCAGTCATTGAAAAAGGACTGTTCGATATTGCAAGTGGCTGCCACCTGTGAAGGCAAGAAAGCAGATGTGAAGATTAGCGACGTGTCACCCTAAAATCAAAACGAAGCTCCTCTTGCCTGTGGTGTCTTACTGCACTACTGAGCTGTCGGAGCGCAGAAGACTGCCGTGCTGGGATAGCTGGTTGCAGCAAGGGGAGCTTTAAATCCTCCTTCAGGGCTTACTGACAGTTGTTGTGCTGACCATGTCTGCAGGGGTTTGACGGTGGGAAAGGGGACAATGTAAGGAGGCAGTCTGCGGACACATGGGGACGAGTCACCTATCAGTCCAATACAGACTCCTAAATCTCAGCCTCTCCAGTTCAAGATCAGTTGGTTAGCAACAGTACCAGGGTGGAAGATGAGGGAGGAAAAATGCACGGACACAGAAAGCCTGCTTTCCCCATCCCGTCCTGTTATTGCCCAGTTTGCCTTAAGCACAAGGTCTGAATATTCCGGAAATATTTCTCAGCTACTCTTGCTATTAATGATCGTAAAATTAGGTAGTCCTTCTTAAAATTCTCTTGCACTCTGAACTGGCTAAGCTGTGATTTCCACATAGTAACCATAGGACATATACTCTCCTCACCCCCCCAAGATGCATCATAAAACCACATCAAAGAGGCTTATCTCCCTCTATCATATACATTCTCTCTGTCTCCCCCCAACCTCTCTCTCTTATAATCCCCCTCCCCAAATCTCTCTCTCTCACAACCTCTCTCTGGCTACAAATTCCAGTTGCATAAAGTGCTTAAGCAAAAGCTTAAGGTGAAGATCTGAGACCTCCCATGACTTCAGCGAATGTATTCACATGCTTAATTTAAAACAAATGCTTAGGCGCTTTCCTGAATAGTGCTTTCAGCACTTTTTTTTTAAAGTGCTTTAGTGCTTTTAGCACAAGGGAGAGAAATTGACTGTGAGACATTGAAAGCTCACATTCACGGCTCCATTAACAACCACAAATACTAATTATACTAATTAACACATAAGATGATTTCTTCTCTCAGCTTAGTCATACTGAATTCATACAGCCAGTGTCAAAATTGCTCTCATCATCCTCTAGGACTGAAAAGTACTTGGACCACTGTAAATAAGAAGTATCCTTTCAGCAGGGTGGATTTGTCTGACCAGGCATTAAAAGATGTAGAAAGCAGCTGGTTTTCATTTCAGTCCTTATTGCTGAAATAGAAACTTTAGAAATATATTGAGCTCTCTCTTCAGCTTGGGTTTTCACTGGGGCTCTTCTATTTGTGTATATCTATATGCCAAAATACACCGCACAGGAAAGCCACATCATGCTTCTTGAACCTGATACTGCCTCAAATCTGAAGGAACCTTTTGATCGTCAAATTAATTACAGAAGTTTGGATTTCCGTGTCTTGACTAAGCATTGCTGGCTCTGGGGAGAACATCTTTATGGGAGCAGTCATGGACAGAGACTATATACTAGTACCTGGGGATAGTGGTAAGCCATCTGCTCACTGAGTAAATTTCTAATCCATTTTGGGGTGAGTCAGGGGTATTCTTTCCCCTCCCAGTTACCTGAGAGCTAAGCCAGTCTCTGTGCTTCTCACAATCAATTTCCATTGGAATGTGATTCATCTGGGTGACCCACACAAACCAGTGACTCTCCAGAAACCTTCGAAAACAAACAGGGAAAAAGCATGACAATTTATATTGCAGACCGGGATATGAGGCAAATAGACTGGGGTTTACGAGGAGCAGCAGGAGACGCAACCTGTGAGGAAAGTATTTCTCTGAGGTATTGAAGTAAGTGCCTCTAATTCTATGGAAACCAGAGAGAATCACTTCTGTGATGAATTTCCCTTCCCCTCTTTATACCTCTGGGACTAACGCAATTATGATTAAGTACAAGCAGGACATCCTACTGGGCTATCCCTCTCCTTCTTCCTCGGCAGTGGATTAATTTCTCATGCCACTTTTGCCTTTCAGTAAATAAAGATGATCCAACCCCTTGAAAAAAACCCAAGCCCCGATTTAGAACTTCTCAGAACTGTTTTCATCTTTCCCGTTGCTTGATTCAAAACCCACCTGCCCACTGGTGTTGGCTTTCTGGGTGTCAGGCTCAGCACACTGGAGCTCCCAGCTTCCCTTTGCTCTCTCAGTACCTTTGCCATAATTCTCAACTCTGCCCTGGGCTGGGTATCACTTTAGAGCGGCTTGTTTATTGCTCACAGTATATAATTGCTTTTTTAGCACCTGTACAGTAGTCTATGGAAATGCACTTTCTTCTCTTTACCCAAAGTAACTTCTCTATGCTGAGACTTAGATGTATGTTGACAAGGTAGTTGTCCAGAAGCATCCTTGCTCTAGCCTTTAGGCTTGTTTTCTGAAAGAGCAGATGATCTGAATTTGCAATTTTGCCTTTCTTCTTGCACTTTTAGCTTAATCAAAATATGGAAGTTTTGGAGATAATGGGTCTGTTGTCATAAGTTTTTTAGCTTGATTTCAGACCAAAAAGGTTGGGTAGGTACTTACACAAATGTATGTCTTTTGAATGTCCTCTTTTCCTTAGGTCCAAAGTGTTTTGAAACTATGAAAACTGAAGTCATGAACAGTGACATTAAATTTTGTGGAGTCAAAAGTTCTAATATTGTGAAGGTTTTTGTATATCTGTTTCCATTTTTTTTTACTCAAAAAAATAATTTTTTTTAGAAAATGTTTTTCACTGTGATGAAGTGTTTTCCTAAAACTAACGCTGACTGTGGGACTAAATGCCATCCTTTAGTACTAGCCAGTGTACAGGCCATGCAGTCTTCCACACTGGGAGAAGTGGTGAGCATCTCACTTACAGGGAAGGACGTACAGTGCTCAGGAGGGCTCATGAATTACCTTCCCAGTAAGCTGGGAAGAAGGTGGCTTGAGGCACTCTGGAAGGGTCCAGCCTTGACTAAAGTGGAAAAAATGCATAAATGTGTTGGGATTGGGCAGTGTGTGAGAACAAGGAATGAAGAAAGAAAGGAGAATCTTGGCTGGACCATCTCAAGGGCAAGGAAAGATGCAGGCAGGTGAAGATGCTGAGCACCAGAACCAGCTCTGTTGTGGGGAGGTAGAACTGGGAGATGATAAGAGGAAAGTGAAGCAGTGGGAATAGCCAAGATAACACACAGTGAGGTCAATGGCTGCAGAAAACCTAAATAGGGAAGGCCTGAGGGGCACAGCAGAGCTGAGGCTTGGTTCGTCTGGCACTGGAGGGAGGGGAGAGCAGCAGGGATGCCCTTTATCTCCTACCTGACAAAAGTGAGGAGAGACAGGGATCCCAGAACGCCATAGAATGGGATGTATGTGATGAAGTAGCGCATGTAGTAGCTGATGGCCCAGGCTAGGTCCTAGGGGAAGAGAGAAGACATTAGGCATTACTTTGCCTATCTCATATAACGTGTCCTTGCTGGTGATGTTAGGGACGCTGGGTGATTAATACAGCAAAGTGCGATCCCTGCCCACTGGTCTCCCTCCCTACTCAAGTGTGATTTCTTACGAGCCAGCCGGACCCCACAAAGATCGAGGGAACGTTTCACTCACCGCCCAGAACCTGCGCCTGATCATGGTCGAGATGATTTGGATTTGGAAATACACAGGGATGAGCAGAGGCGGGAAGACTGCAAAGCAAAGGGAAATGTTTTGGCCATCAGAGGGGTGGAAAGGCACATGACATGAGTGAGCCAGTGATTTAGGACTGGTTCTAGGGAAAATCTGCCTAGCCCTGGTGAGAGAGGTGAGGTGCTGGTGATGGGGGGTGGTTGCCTTTCTGTGAAGGAAGGAGGCTCTGCTACATACCCGTTCATCTTGACTTATCAAAGAGCATTGACTGGCAACACGCATTTTTTTCCATGGAGCCCCTCACACAGAGATTATTTCCTAGTCTCAGTTGTTTGCCTTGCTATACGTGACTATGCTGGCAATGTTCAAGATGCTTGGATATCATTGAGAATCTACTGAACTGAGTTTGGGACCTGCACAGGGGATGGTGGTCCTGAGAACGGGAAGGATGAGTTGAGACTTACGGAGTCGCTCTGCTAACACAGTAGGGGCATTCAGGGGAAAAGGAAGAGTGCAGGGCAGATACTCACTGAGGAAGAAGTACTCGTGCTGGTGGTTGTAAGGCAGGTACTTCAGCTTCTTCTTGCCGTACTGCGGGACACAGAGAAAAAAACTCAGGTTTGGATTATGACACTCTCATGCAAGAGAAGATTCTCTGCAATACTTCTTTATTTACTGACTCGAGAGTTTTGACCGAATTCCTACCACCATGTAAAAAGTGTTTTGGTATGGTTAAATATTTGACTTTGTAATTGTGCTAGGTGTAAATTCCTTTTTCAAGTCTTCTGGCTTGATATTCAGATAATTTTTACTTACTTGAGAGCCTGATGGCATTTTAATGCATTTCTCCACCTTCTGCCATGCCTGTGGCTGTGGCAAAAGCTGCTATCATCTCTGTCATTACCAATACAAATGTGATAGGCATAAAGTCTGACCTTTGGTAAGTCACTACACAAGATGCCAGTGCAAGACAACGATCCTTGGGTAGTCTTCCATGCAAAATGTCCCAAGCATTGATCCTTTTTGACTTCTGCAGCCATCGGTCCCCATGAACTCCTGCCATTAGCTGGATCTTGTAAAAGCTTACTTTACCAACAGTGGGAAAGCTAGCGTGGTCCTTAGCTGTTACTACAGCAAGTCACACAGATGTGCTTAAATCTGTAATGGTGTGTCACTAGTTTGACATGTAAGTGATAGGAAATATGAGTACTGTCACTGCGAGCTATTCTGCACCGATTCCTGTATTACTATGGTCCACCTACAGAAAGCAGATGCAGAGAAATTTCTCCAAAACCAGGTTTGGACCTTGGGTTGTTACATTTTTTGCAGGTGCCCATTTCTTTTCAGTGAAAAGAGGGAGCCAAGAGCACCCAGTCTCCTAACCTCATCTCCCTAGTGAAATATCTAGAGCTCTACAGAAGTGGTTTTTTTGAGCTCCAGGAGTGTTCACACAAGCAGCTAATGCGTGGAGAATCTGGATTGCTGTGAACTTTCATTTTTGCTTCCAGCATAGAAACTTCCCAATGAAGGTAAGTCTTGTAGCACCAATAAATCAGCCGCATCATTCACTCTGGTCTGAGCTCTGAAAGGCTGTGTGCTTAGCACCATCTGGAAAAGGATTATATACAAGTGTGAAAGAGTATGGGACAGACTGATGCTGGCCTAATATTTCAGATATTTTGTAGGAGGGAGATCCAGTTTTCCTTGTTGTCGTACATGTTTACATTCTTAGGTTTCCCTTAAAGTATTAGAACCACAGTCTGCTTTTAAACGCAGCCAGCAGGCACAAGATTTCCCAGTGGGTTGTACCCACACATTTAAGAGCGTGATACTGATTTACAACTTCTAGATAATGGCTTTTTTATACCCCAGGAGAAGGCTTTCATTTTAGTCATATATAAGAGCCCTTCTGCCTTTGGAAAATTCTGTGTGTGCAAGACATTCTCTATACATGTCCACGTACCAGTACGTATGTCCCCTTCATGTGTCCGGAGTTACATCCTCAATAGTATAAAAACTGGCTGAGAAACCATTAACTTTTTAATGTTGTATTCCCCTGTGTTGTACTTGCTCCAGATGTTTCTTTGTTTGTTTTCTTTGGTTTGTTTTTGGTTTTAAAACTAGAAATCTTTGTTCCATTGTAAAAAAGACCAAGGATGGTATGTGGTTTAAGTCCTTTGTGTAGGTTTTTATACAGGAGACAGTAAATACTTTGGCTCTAGAAGGACAGATTGAATTAATGTCCCTTAACATAGCCTGTTATTTCATGTGCAGCATGTCAGTACATAGTTAATGTAAGAAAGTATTGTTTACGCAAGCAATATCCCCTCGACTGCATGGGAAACGCTTCAATGGAGAGGACCTTATACAGATTGTCTGGGGGGCAGCTGGACTGACTAATATTGGAAGATATTTTCTGTGGAAATGGAAGATCAGTTTTGAAATGTTCTTGATGAAGTACTGAGGAATACCAGGTTTTCCCCTCCTGTTGATATTTCAAGCCAGCAGGACGAAGCTGACTTTAACGACTTTCTCCTTTCTTTCCAATCCCATCTTCATTGTTTTTCCCAAGCTACCCCAAAACACTTTCTCCTGTGGTCGGTATAGGAAACAGATAGTGAATTATGTAGTCAATCTTGCTCTTCCACCCAAGGTTTGGGAGGGTGAGACGGCCAAACTCCTGTCAGACAACACAGCCAGATGAAATCCCTGGATAAAGCATTTCCTTTTTTAGTATTCCTGGAAGTCTTGACTGTGTAAGTCATGTCTACTAATACCAGCCAGCTCCTGGTTTTGCACAAGCATTCTCTGAAGCCCTTTAGGACAATGGTTTTCCATGTTTTAGCCACTTTGCCTTACCTCAACAGGCTGTGTATCTCCGAGGACAAAAATATGCAGCATGTTCACATCTGGGTCCTTCTTGAATATATTGGGCTTGGCATGGTGTTGGAAGTGACGATGGTTCCACCAGTTTGCAGAGGCACCCTGGGCAGATAGAAGAACAAAGAGTTCATCCTTGGGAAACTGCAGTTCCTCTAACGGTAGGATTACCCATTCATTTATATAAACTAAACCAGTGCAACTAAGATTATGGCCAAACTGTTATTTGCTTTTGAAATAGCAATAAGCAGTAAGTGGCTAAGCTGCCAGTTGCTATGAGACTGCTGGTTTCAGAGGGCTGGTTTGCCCTTGGTAAGGATCATCCTTATTGAAAGAACAGGGAATAAATATACTCTCAGTGAGTTGCATGTCACCATGCCTTCCCACATGTGAAGTTGTTATTAGTAGCTGAATCATGGAATCATTTAGGTTGGAAAAGACCTTTAAGATCATCGAGTCCAACCGTTAACCCAACACTACCAAGTCCACCACCAAATCCTCTTGCTGCCTTACTGATTATTATACTGGTTTCCCTCTACTGCCTGTGAGGAATCAGGCAAGATGAAGTGGGTTGGGGAGAATGGGCAAAGCTATGTCCCACCCTCTAGACGTTCCTGCTGCAGGTGGATGCCGAAATGCCTGGACTGCACTGGACCTTGCCCAGGATAGAAGTTCTGAAGGCATCTTGAATGGATGGGATGTAGCAGGATGGGACATTTGAAAAATATTATACCTTAGTGGAGTGCATGGTGAAAATATGACAGGATATTAAAATAGGGGTTTATGCAATTTAATAAGCTTCGTCCTCAGCTGCTATAAATTGGTGCGGTTCCACTGAAGCTCGTGGAACTACTGTCTTCTGTAACAGCTATGGTTACAGTCTCTTATCGCTTCTGCACCACAGCTTCACGTGCAACGGTCACTAACTTCTCCTCTGTGCATCTGCTCACTGGGGGAAGGCTTGGAGCTGCAGTTTCCTACTTTAACATAGTCGTAGTGACTGCAGTTGTTTCCACAGTGCCCTGGGTCCATAATGTCCTTTACCTTCAGGTGTCCAATGATAAACTTGTGAACGATGTGGTTCCAGGAAGACTTCTTAAAGACAGAGAGGTGTCCAAAATCATGTTGCAGCCACCCTGCCTGGGTCTGGGATGAAGGGAAATCAAGCAGTTAGGAAGCTGTTGGAAATCAGAGTTAAGCACAAAAGGAAAGGGAGATAGAAGGCAAGTTGTGAGCATGAGGAAGGGAGGGAATTAACTGAAGTGAGAGGATAGAATCATTCAGGTTGGAAAAGATCCTTAAGATCATCGAGTCCAACCGCAAACCTAACACTACCAAGGTCACCAACATGTGGAAGGAAAGGTCATATTGATGAGAAAAATGTGTGAGCCACGATCAGCAGTGGGTAGGGGTGGCCAGAAGGCACCACAGTGGCAGGTATGCTGTGAATATTTTTCACTGGTGTGAATGTTTTGCACTGGTAATTAATCTAATATGAAAAGTTCAGCATGCGCTGGCCTTCCTCTGAGTGATTTGCATAGCCAGTATGCTCTGTGCCTACCACTTCTCACCTGGGAAGTTGTAAGGATGCAGGCGAGGACGAGAGTTGTGATCCAGCCAGTACCGAAGTATGAAACCATTAACCAAGCCAAAACTTCCATTGCAATAATATGGCCGAAGTAAAGAGAGAAGAACAAAGGATTTGCTCTGAACAAGTTCATGTCCTCTGCTGTCTTCCTCAGGGTCCGGAAATCCTCCACCAGCTGGGACTGCAGAATAGACATGCAAGACAGGGTATGAAGCTTATAAGTAAGTCTGAATGAGTCTAAGGAAGGAAGGCTGAGTTCCACACTAAGGACCCTGGCTGTTTCTTGCATTGGTTGGCTACTCCAGAAGTAAGGAAGGACCTGCCTCCATATTCACCCTGTATTCTAGCTTGTCATAGCACTTTCCCATGAATAAACATCCTGGCTGGTCTGAGCCCACGTCCTGACCTTTTGCACCTTGAGCTAGGAGAGTAATTCAAGCCTGCTGCTGTGAATCAGCAGCACTACCTGGCTCTCCTGAGAGTTACATCAGGTGATGGCTCTCATCTGAACCAGCTTTACAAGTATTAAAGAGGCAGCGGGAGAAGGAACTAAGTCAGTCCTATTACTTATGCATAATTCCAGAGCTCTCACGATGAGCACCCAATATCAGAGCACCCGTTGTCTACTTAATATGTGGGTCAGCTACCGTGCAATCATTCGTGAAGAGCATTCCCGGGTTAATGCGGGTTAGCATTGTCTCTTCTATTGTGAGTGATACAGATATATCATAATCATGGCCAGTCACAAACAACGGGACAGGATTGAGTTTCGCAGCAAGAGCTAGTCATGCCGTGCGCTGTGCCTGAATAATGAATGAACGGACTGTCTGGGAGGGATACAGAGCTGCCCTGAGGATGCCGGCTGGGTGGAAAAGGGACTTGCTGGGTTGCTGCTCCTTAACAACAGCTCCCGAAATGAGACATCTGGTTCACCTCACCCATAGGTGCCTGCTGCTCGTGCCATGCATGGCACCAACGTGGCCGCTCTCCAGAGCTTTGCTGGTACTGGGCTCAGCAGGATAAGCCCGTTTGAGTCTCAGAGAGGTGCTTCCCTGGGAGTAATCTGTCAAAGGGAGCTGCACAGCAAACAGTGAAAGAGATTCAAGTCTTGCTGAAGTGGTGAGCAATTTGTTTGGAAGTCTTTTCAGACTTCTTTTCCCACTCCTTCCCCTGTAATAGGCAAGTGATGACACGTGTTTTAGAGCCTGGTCACCAGAGAAGGAATAGCAGAAGGGACACCGGTCACAAGAGCTGGTGCACATTTCCCAGTCCATATGTGCCAGTTCACATTTCCCTTCAGCATGGGATCAGTCCAGCCTGGGCACTGGGAATGTGCTGCTAGAAATAGGACGTGATTACCACAGGCAGAGCTGTTGGTGGCTCTGTGGGAAACGAAAGGTTTGTACAGCCAGTCTGAATCCCTCCCACACACATTTTAATCTATACTGGGATGTGCACATTGCTTCAGATACCGAGTATTTTCCCCTTCTGGAGCTGCCTGTACTGAAGAGACCTTTATAGTCTGCCTGCCTTTGACCTGGAGGACATCCCGAGAGGAAAAAAAAGGTGGAACATACCCACCATAAACCCCAGCTCAGAAACAAATACTCACGTTTTTATCTCGGTCCTGGCTAGGTTCCCCTGGAGCAAGCTCTCCGATAAGTAATGGCTTGAGAAACTTTTGCACCAAGGTGGGATTGATATGGAAGGCCTTGAATGCATCCTGGAGTGGAAATACGAGGAACTGTGTGAGATTCAGGAAGAAGCTGTTGCTTCCTACTCTTTGTGTCATTCCCGTCCATCTCCAGCACTGTCCTTCTCTGCAGTTGTCCCCCAATGTTACCGTGGAAGAGGGATGCCAGGCTGACTCCCACCTCTGCGATCACTGTTCAGTGCAGTACTTTTACTAGAGGCTGATGAATTTGCTTATCTAGTCGCAAGCGAATGGTGAGATCTGGGCTGCTATCTAGACACACAGTGAAAGGCACCTCAAGAAATTTTTTTCTAAGCAACTAAATACCTAAATCCTATTAATTCCCTTAGAAATTAGGCAGAGAGGAATTTGTGCAAATCCCCACTAGGATATAAATACCCTTTGGAAGTCTGCTGCCCGGAGGCAATTCAAGAGAGGGGGTGACTGAATCTGGACATGACTGTAGATACAAAAAATATTACTGGATGTTTTGGCTGGACCTGTAGATCCCAGCACTGCCACAGCTGAGGAAAAAGTGGCGACTCTTCATTTTGGAGACTGCCTTTCTCTTTTTGTTCTGTAAGACGAGTAACTGAATGCTACTGTAGCTCTTCTTTATTCTAGAACCGTATTCTAGATATAGAGGCAACTCTATCTCCATGCAAGTCCAAGTAAAATGTCTTAGAAAGGAGCCAAATCAAAAACACGGTTGTGTACCAGAACTTTAAGCAATTGCTTTAAAGTGCTTGCTATCAAACTTTGCAGTGGCTAGGACCCCATTCAAAAAGGGACCTACACCAAAAAGCAACTTTATTCATTACTCTGAAATATGCTAAGCAGGTTAGCAGTCCTGAAGAGATTATAGTTATCAATACATCTGATACGACTTCTTGTCATTTCTACTGTGCTGTGGTATGCGGCTGCTTGTCCTTATAAGAGGCCCATTAATCTTTTGCGGGATGGCTGGTATATTTTCTATTCAGTACCTGCCTTGAGTGTTGGGTACATTCTACTGAAGTCTCTCCAACATGCGATAATAGACATAAATAGCTTGCTAAGTTTCAGCAACAGAATCTGAGGGATGAAACTCAATGTTGATGAAACTTGTGAAATAAATCCTATCCCATATACTCCTGAGGCTGGAAAAGCAGGAAACCCAGCTCGAGTATTATTTTTCTTACATATTTTCAAGACTTCTAATACGGAAGGACAATGCCTTGTTTGTAGAGGCTTTTTGATCCTGGCATTCATGAGTTTGCCTGGCTCTTCTCCTTCCCCTTTCCACATGTGTTCGTCTACCTATGTCCTACAGGTGCCTGATGGGCGCGTGTATCTGATGCATCTGCTGCTAGTAGTGAGAACTTGCACACTCCTCCTTTCACGTGGCATGGCTTGAATTTTAACCCCAAATATAGTGCTAAGGTCAGAAAGTTGACCAAGGTCAGAAACTCTTACTCTGCCCTTGCCTTTTTCTTACTGCACAGAACTGGAGTTAACTCTAGAAAATCACCTAGGGGAGCTGTAAAGATGTAATCACATGAAATGCTAAGACAGGTACAGAAAAAACAGTCAAAAATAGAAGTCAGGAGTACCACACTTCAGCCTTTCCCCACTTGTCCCATTGCCTAACAATAGTAGGGACCAACTAAAATCTCATTTCTGGCTCTAAACAGAAAGAGCAGGCTGGAAAGTGCTCACTGGGTCCAGCTGACCCTACTGGGAGCTGACCTCCATCAAAAGTCTAGCTCCGGTGTTCAAAAATACCAGCCAACAACCTTGGTCCCAAAGTCCACCAAAATCAATAGAAACTTTAACCTAATTCCAAGATTTTGGATTGAGCTTCAGAATAATGCTCTGACCATAGAAATTTTGCTGCGAGA